CTCATTTTACCAACATTGGAAGGATAGAATTTCTTCATATGTACACCTCAGTTGCTGCAAACTGCACCTTGGCGTAACCAGCAGAGGTGGTGGGAGAGGTGGCATTAGGGAGGGAATGTGTGCTGGGAAGTTGTCTGTAAGAAGCCTAGCTGTTTCTATCCCTTTAAGTATGCTTTTGCTGGTTTTTGGCACAAGAGGAGGGGAAGACAGTGATGGTGGGAAAAGGGAAGCCAAGCACTTTCTCCAAGTTCCTCAGAGAGGATGAGACTCTCTCTCTCTCTCTCTCTCTCTCTCTCTCTCTCTCTCTCTGTGTGTGTGTGTGTGTGTGTGTGTGTGTGTGTGTGTGTGTGTGTGTGTGTTTGACAGAGAGAGAGAGAGAGAGAGAGAGATGGAAGGGGCATAAAGAGGAGAGCTAGAGGGAGAAAAAGATGTCGGAAGAAGCACATCTCAACCAGAATGAGCCCTAGGATGTATTATTTATTACTGACCTGTCTCTATGCTTTTTTAGGGAGGAGGGGGAGAGACCCAAACACACAACCCCACACAAGGACTGCCAACCATCTCCCAGGTGGGCATGTATGTAAACAGTGTTTCAAATCGTCACAAGATTTTAAATCAGATCCATTCAGAACGGAGCTCATTGGGGAGCAAATGTAAATGTATATAAGCCCTAAGATACATTGTCTTACTCTCTAAATTATGGTAAATGTTTCTAAATTTGTCATTTTAATCATGTAATGAGAAACAAAAAGGACAAATTGTTGAAACTGACTACAGAAAGTAAAGTTAACGAGAAAAGAAGTACAGAGTGCAGAAGAACGTATCGGATGAAGAAGCTACAACACTACTTTAGGTGCAGCACATGATTGTTTACAGCAATGTATGTTATATTACTTCTGAAGTGGACTTTCATCACAACCTTTTTGTCTTAGAAAGTAATGAACTGTAAGACATTCCATGGAACCTGTTGATATTCTTCTGACATTCCGCCTCTTCTGAACTGGAGAACAGTTGGTTACCAGCCTTGGGTTCTCAGATGTTCTTGGACTTCAACTCCCAGAAATCCTGGCCAGTAGAGGTGGTGGTGAAGGCTTCTAGGAGTTGTAGTCCAAGAACATCTGGAGGCCCAAGGTTGGGACCACTGTTTTAAAGGATGAAGTAGAACATAGTCATGATGAAATCCAACGTCCGGTGATACTAAGAGGAGGAGAGGCAGCAGCAGCAGCTGCTGCAACATCCTTTTTATCCACAGACCTGAGGGAACAGTTCTGTTAAAAATTTAATTCAGATTTTTGGGGAGAGTAGACACAGAACGCTGTTACCTTCCCACCGAGGTGGTCCCTATTAATCTACTCGCATTTGCATGCTTTCGAACCGCTAGGTTGGCGGGAGCTGGGACAAGCGACGGGCGCTCACTCCGTCGCGTGGACTCGATCTTACGACTGCTTGGTCTTCTGACCCTGCAGCACAGGCTTCTGCGGTTTAGCCCACAGCGCCACCATGTCATAGTCATGATGAAATCCAATGTCCGGTGATACTGAGAGGAGGAGAGGCAGCAGCAGCTGCTGCTGCAACATCCTTTTTATTCACAGACCTGGAGGAACAGTTCTGTTAAAATTTAAATTCAGATTTTTGGGGAGAGGGATACTCAGAAAGAGAAACCTAGCTACAAAATGCTGTAAGAGTGAGTGCTGATATGGTTTCCAAGTTCAATTTTCACTTTTCCCATTTAAACAAAAGCAAGTAGTCTATAATGATGAAGTCCACTTATTAGGACTGGGACTGTAACACAAATGACAAATACACAAAGTTACAAATTACATAAACTAGTGCTTTATTTTACTATGCACTTGATTTAAGGAAATTAGACCACTTTCACACCTTTTCTATGTTGTGGCAGGGGGAAAAAAAGAAAAGCTTTGAACCGTATCAACTGCCATGTAAACCAAATGCTGCTAATCAATCAATAAATAAAAACTATGCCTATTTCTCTTGCTCACAGAGGAATCACATTTAAATAGCCTGGGAAACCACAGCACAAAGGCCCATCAATATTGATTTTACATGAAACACATGACTGGTGCAATTAACAGACTGCAACAGTTTCATCAATGTAACATACATTATTAGATTTTCAATTAATATTCCAGGGAATTGAACAATTATTTTTTTGCTTTTTAAAAATATTGTCGTAATGTAACAGCTACAATATTCAAATCCTTGAGGACACAGTTTGTTTAAAATTAAATATGGGGTTTGGGGAGAAGAATGTTTATACAGACAATTAAGCCACAGTCTGGTTTTCTAGAAATTACTTTGATAAACATCCTTTTCACAGGTTTCAGGGCGCTTGTCAACAGAGCTTCATTTACAAACAGCCAAGTGCAAGGGCTGAACTGTGTCTATGTGTTGCTCTTTAACCTGGATGCAATTTCTTACTGCTGAGTGAAAGGTAAAGGTAAAGGTTCCCCTTGACATTTAGTCCAGTCGTGTCCGACTCTAGGGCGCGGTGCTCATCCCCGTTTCCAAGCCATAGAGCCAGCGTTTGTCCAAAGACAGTTTCTGTGGTCACGTGGCCAGCGTGACTAGACACGGAACGCTGTTACCTTCTCACTGAGGTGGAACCTATTTATCTACTCGCATTTACATGCTTTCGGACTGCTAGGTTGGCAGGAGCTGGGACAAGCAACGGGAGCTCACTCCGTAGCGTGGATTCGATCTTATGACGGCTGGTCTTCTGACCTCGCAGCACAGAGGATTCTGCGGTTTAACCCGCAGTGCCACCACGTCCCTCAGCTGAGTGAAAAGCACTTCACATTTGCTCAAGTGGATTCTCATCAGCTCACCTGTTCCAACATCCTTAGCCTGACAGTTATTTGAGAAACTGAGATTTTTCTTTCATGATAATCCATGCAATATTTATGTGCAATAAATGTGACACTTCAATACTGCACCAAAAGCAGCAGAAGCATCCCTTCTCAACAGAATAAATGAAAACAATGCAATCATCAACAGGGATTCTACTGTATTCTGCTTTCAGGCTTACCTGGATCTACAGTATGTCCAGTTCTAACTCCATAGCTAGATACTATCAAACAAGAATGTGGATAAGAATAAAAGTAAGGGTAGGGACTGATTCCCAATGTGGTGTAGTGGACAGATTGACAGACTAGGATTCTGATGAACAGGGTTCAAATCCCCACTCATCCATGAAAACACACTGGGGGTGAGTGCCACTGGTAAAATCACTCCTTAAATATGTTACCATGAAGGTCACTGTAAGTCGGTTCTGACTTGATTGCACATAACACACAAGGATAGTGAAGAACCTGAAGGGTATTTAGTAAGTGTAAATAGTTTATATGTTGAATATGTCTGTCCAGAAATGATGTGATGAGTGGCTAAAATACCCATTTAACAGAATTCTCCAGGAATCCCACAGCAAGAATTCTGGGACATTAGCCAAGAAATTAAAGTCCTCACAGGAGTGTTCAGTTACATTAAAGGTGTTTTGAGCCATGACAATTTGTTGTGTTCCATGGAGAAATGAGGAAGAAGGGATAGGCCTGCCAAGCGATTAGAGTTCTTAGAGTAAACTAACTGTGCAGCTTTTAATAAATAGATGAATTAACTGATTAAAAATATTGTACTGCTTCAATCCAGATGCTAGGTTGGGGCCATTTAATTGCAGTAAAGGTTTCCTTAACTATGTAGCATAGATGCATAATTAGCTGTTGTAGACAAGCACCCTATAGCGTTGTCTGAATTCAGAGACACACACTGATTGTTTACAAAAGCTGCCATCAGTGCGGAACACCCATTTGCCACATGCAACCCTGATTAAATTATTAATCAAAGCTTTGGAGTGCAAATGTTAATCAGTTCATCACACTGATTAATGCTTTCTGCCTGGGCCAAGGAATAACATGGTTTTTAAGTGCCTGTTTGTCCTCCCAGCTTGTTGCAATGGAGGTACGGAAATATATAGCACCTATGGGAAATTCTTGCTACTCACCTGTTGTTCTTCATACTGCAGTCAGGGCTATCCAAAGATATTTTGTTCCAGGTCAGTGGGGCGGGGAGGGGAGAAAAGGATTCTGTACCCACCACATCAAGGTGCAGACAGAGGAAATGGTTGAGAGTGGTTAAACTTTGTGAGATTTGCAAAGGATTATAGGACTAGTAGTTTTTTGACACGCACCCTTGATGAGGCTAATGAGCCTCATCAAGGGTAAGAGAGATTGCTAGTCTCCTAATCCCTTGGCGTTTTGCCCCTTCCACCCACTTCCTCTGTTCCTTTCACAGGAATAAAATGGCTGAGTGAACCGCCATTGTGCAGAATCTACTCTGCCCCATCAACAACCTTAAGCTCTTTGCTCCACCTGATGACTACCTCAGAGGTACACAAGTACCTGCTTCAGTTCATATTTACACATTCAAGAACAGGTCATATCCCTCGTACATATACATAATTCTGGTTGAGAACTCTGTGTGTGCCAATTTATTTACTACAAATAAATTGCTGGTGGTAAAACAAATAAGTGTTATTCAATAACAAACACTAAACCAAAGAGATTTCTATGAATTTTATACATCTGATTCTATGTTTCTCAAAACTGTGTGGTGAACCAATTAGGAAGAAATTGTTTTTATAGGATTAAGAGCTTGGCTCCTCACAAACCTTTCTCCACTCCCAATATTCATAGGTTCCGAAAATGCTTTAGTCCAGCCCCCTATCAAGGCAGGAAATGTGCTCTGACAGCATCACTTATAGGAGGTCATCCAGTCTCTGTAAATAAATAAATACCCACAACAGGAAAACAACAAAAAATATTCGCTAACAACTAAGATTCCTCCCTTTTCTGAGGCTCTCTGTTCTATTGCCAAACAGGTTTTTTTTAAATCACCAGTTCTTTTTAATATCTAATCAAAATCCCTTTACTTGTAATTTCTGTTCATTTTTTTGTATCTGGCCATCTAGAATTAGAGGAAACACATTGATTCTTCACAGCAATTGCAATATGGCTAACAGGCTTCACATTTCTTTTCCACATTTCTTTAGAGGGTCTGGTCTTCAAACTCCTTACCATCTTCCTTGCCCTTCTCTACAAACATCCCGACTTTTCTTTTTACCCTGCTACAGAATGATTATGATGACCAACATGTCTATCACTTGTTTGGTTTAGTAAGTTCAACCTACCCTCCCTGCTTAGGAACACTGAATACATCACTATTTGGACCCTTGACCCAATGAAATTAATGAAGGATTATGAACTCAATTGTACTGCTCTTGGTCGAGTTATTATTTTTTTCTTTCCTCTTCAAGCAACTGTGCTGAAATCAGCACCTCTTAACTGAATATTAACTGAACTTAGAGCTCTTTATTTGCTAGGCATTTACATTCTGCACTGAGCAATACAGAGGTAATAAAGGTAATCCCCTCCCAAGGGATCCAAATCAAGTACAGAACTGCAATGCATTAGATACTGCCATGCCAGTCTGATTCAAAGCGTATTTACTACAGCCTTAGTTGACATCTCATTTAATTAGATTGTGCCATGTAGAATTGATCAGTTTGGCAAGTGCACTGCAATGCAAAGA